CAGTTTCATAGAAGCCAAAAAGGAGGAATTGATGAGTAGTGTCAAATGCTGCTGTGTAGTCAAGATTATACCTGAGAAGCGTCTGTTGGATTTACTGAATTGGAACTCACTGATGAATTTGGCGGGAGTTCAGTGTAAGGCAAGCATGTCAAACTCAAAAGGCTAACATGGACCAAATAAACAAGGTTTAAGTTTATGTGGGCTGCAAAAAAGCAAAAGCTTCAATTTTCATAGAAATGTAGGTTTATTTTGATAAGACATGCTGAATACAAAGGGCTGGAATAAATAGGTGATCATTAATATAAAATAATAGAACATTTTAATAAATCAGTCATTAGTGAATGCTATAGTTTGTTATTAATAATTATGTGTAACAGGATATTGTAAAAATTAAGTTACAAAATTTTTATTAAAATGTTTCTTACATGCCGTTCTATTGGCTGGGCCACAAAAATATTCATTGTGGGCCACATGTGGCCTGCGGGCCGAGAGTTTGACATGCTTGGAAGGGATTTGGACAAAGTCCGACAGCACAAACGTGAAATGTTGTGCATGGTTTCCAGGGGTTCTCAGACAGTGTTTAAAACCTAGCCCTTTTTTCCTGAAGCTTCTCCCCACCCTCGCCCCACCCCCCAAAAAAGAGGCAATGCATTTTATCTGACGTGAAACAGACACTGAGGATGAGTGAAGAATAGTCCTGCCCTCTATGTGCTCTCAGACTAGTAGGGGCCATTGGAAAGATAGCTTTTGATATGGGGAGAGAAATCCCTGGAATCTGGAGGATTGGAGTGGGCAGGAGGAAGACTAGAGCAGGGCCACATGATGATTTTCACAGGCTCTAGGAACTTTTGCCTTCATGGGCCCTCTCCTCAATAAAAAATATTTAAAATTATATTTTATGATTGCATTGATATAAAGAGGAATATATTACTATTATATAGTAAAATGTTCTCTTCCACTTAAAAGCTCACTCCCCCTCCCCCCTTCTGATTGTAAAAGAAATTAAGACATTTTTGTAATGTGGGTCTTAGGCATTGTACTTACAATACCTAATGGATGAGCCAGCCCTGAACTTAAGGTAATGAGGGATAGCATGAGATCTCTGGGTACTTAGGAATGGAGAGGTAGGAAGGAGACAAGCCCTAAGAACTCAGTTCTATTTAGCACTGACCCTATATCTAAGGCAGATCCCACAGGCCAGCCAGCTCCAGGAAAAGGCACATTTGTGTGTTGGGAGTTGGGAGTTGAGGAGGCTCACGCTGCAGATACTTTTTCATGGAGGAGGAAGACAGTGTCCTTGCTGACACCCCCCCTCCCCCACACACCCCCTTTTCCTGGGTCAAGAGCTTCCCCAGGCAGCTGATGGCAGAGAAGACCAGATGGTGGTTCAGTTGAAACCACCTCACATTGGGGCTCCAGCTGCCTTGGTCTTGTGAAAACAACCCCATCGACCCTCTGTCACTAAGCCACTGTCAGGGAGGACAGCTTTGGGAGGGGTGGCAGGTGAAGCTTCCACAAGTGAGGTACCTGCTTCTGGGAAGTGCTAAGAATCCTATGAGCTGTCAGTTTCCACCACAAAGGGCAGCGGTTTTGTTCTGTGGGCTTTTGGATAAGTGTCCGTGTAAGTGAGAGAGACCAGAAGTAGGGTTGTGGTTCACTGTTGTTTCTTATTAATTCATTTTATTAAACCCCAATTGCCTATAAAACCAGGAGTGGATGAGGAATTTGTGATTTAAAGAGCCCAATTCAGATATTTTTCTTTAGAACATGGCCCCAGGCATCTGAACCC